GCTGTTAATGAAATACCAGCCCTTTCCATGTTTCCTGCTTGGGCCAACAGAACAATGGTTTCATTCAGGATGTGACTGACATCATGGAAGTGGGAAAGCTGTTTGACGTAGGCTCAGGAAGAAGGGTCTTACCCCTTAAGACCATGTTCATTAGTCACACACATACACTTTTACTCTTTCTTTTTCTTCTTCTTTTTTTTTTGTTTTTTTGTTTTTTAAGACAGGGTCTCTCTGAAGCCTGGGTTGTCTCTGAAGCTCATTATGTAGACCAGGCTAGACTCAAACTCAGTGAGATCCTCCTGCCTCTACCTCCTGAGTCCTGCAATTAAACCTGATGTGATGATGTACAACCGGCATCAAGGCTCACCCTCTTTTTTGAGACAAGTTTTCACGCAGCCCAGGCTGGCTGTGAACTGGCTATCGCCACAAACCCCCGATTCTATATATATGGCTCCAACTTCTGGAGTGCTGTGGTCACTGGCAGGTACTAACATGCTTGGTTTATGCTGTGCTGGGGAGTGAACCCAGAGCTTTGTGTGGAGTGTGGCAGGCTTTTTTTTTTTTCAAAGATTTTATTTATTTATTTTATATATATGATGAGTACACTGTAGCTGTCTTCAGACACACCAGAAGAGGGCATCAGAATCCATTACAGATGTTTGTGAGCCACCATGTGGTTGCTGGGAATTGAACTCAGGACTTCTGGAAGAGTAGTCAGTGCTCTTAACCACTGAGCCATCTCTCCAGCCCGGCTTTTTTTTGAGACAGGTCTCTCACTGCAGTCTGGGCTTGCTCTTAAACTCATGACAATCTTCATAGTAAGCCTCCTGAGTACTGAGAGTTATAGCGCTCTCTCTCTCTCTCTCTCTCTCTCTCTCTCTCTCTCTCACACACACACACACACACATATACCTGGCTCTGTTATACACCTCTATCCCACTGGTCAGAAAGAAGGTATCACATGATCACATCTAGCCACAGAAACAGCTGGGAGATAAAAAAAAAAAAAAAAAACAAAAAACAAAAAAAAAAAAACTTTATATTCTGGCCATGGGCTGAGCTAACAGACTAAAGGAGAAAGATTCAAAGACACTTGGCTTGTTTTGTTTTTCTTACTCTTTTAAGACACTACCTCTCTCTACAGCTAAGGCTGGCCTCAAACTCACTGTGTAGTCCAGGCTGACCTCAAACTTTTAACAGTCCTCCTGACTTAGCAACGCCCCCCCCATGTTACAAGTTACACCCCAATGTTACACCAGCACACTCAGCCTGAGGACAGGAAGTACGCATGGGAGACCTCCACCTAACTGCCACAGTGTTCAACAGGTAGATCTGAACTGTCAGTTAAAAAGTTCAGTCTCCTGTATTTATTTTGAGATAAGTCTCTCTTACATGGTGTAGTCTAGTCACAAACTCACGATATAACCTTAATCTCTTGATTCTCCAACCTCCGCCTCTCGAGCCCTGGGATTCCAGGCATGCACCATCATACCTGGCTTCCAAGCTCATTCTTGTTGGCAGAATTGAATTCATTCACTCTTTCCTTGCTGTTAGCCCTTTCATCCTTAAACAAGCGGAAACACATAAAATCCTTTTCCTGTTTTGTGTCTTTGCCTGTCTCCTCTGCATCCAGGTGGAAGCTCTCTGCGGTTAAAAAGCTGGGGAGAGAGGGCAGGCCACCCGAGACTCTCCCACATAAAGTAGCTCAATCAAAGCAGTAACACCCCCCCAAGCGGTGCGATGCCGGGGATTGTGCGGGAAGTGTCCACTAGGGGGCCTTGCAATCCTGGTGCTAACCCAGAACGTTAACCAGCACAAACCTAAGCTTGGAACTGGCTCATCCCTGCCTCTCTCTCTGCAGAGGACATCCTGGGTGTGCAGGCTTCACGGCCCTGGGAATTTTACCCCAGCAGCTCCTGCCGCACTGTGGTCTTCCCACTGCTGACCTCTGGCTCTACCTTCTGGTTGCTCAGGCTCTGGGAAGAGCTGGGGTTCTGGCCTGGTCTGGTGAGTGGCTACATGCTGCTGGTGGGGCCCCGACTCCTTCTCACTATCCTCTCCTTTGCCCTGGACTGGGCTATATACTCTCTGGCCCCGTTGTGGGGGGCAGATCGTTGGAATGCCTTGTGCCTGCTGTCTGGTTCCTATGTCACCCTGGTTTTCTACACAAGAACCTTCTCCAACACCATCGAGGGACTGCTCTTCACCTGGCTGCTGGTGCTGGTGTCCCCTTATGTGACAAGGAGTCCCACACCAAAGAAGCCTACCTCAGGTCCACGGTGGCACAGCTATCTTCTTGGTGCTATTGTGGCTGCTGGCTTCTTCAATCGGCCAACCTTTCTAGCCTTTGCTCTGGCCCCCCTCTCTCTCTGGGGCATCCATAGAGCTTTGGAACTTGGTGGCATCAAGGCCCTGATCCAGGAGGCCCTGGTGCTGTTGCCAGGGGCTGCTCTTGTTGCAATGCTGTTTGTAGCCATGGACAGCTGGTACTTCTCCAGTCTCTCAAGATCCACAGGCGTCGTTTTCACGCCTATCAACTTCTTGTACTACAACCTGGATCCCCAAAACCTTGCAAGGCATGGCACACATGCACGGCTCACTCACCTAGCAGTCAATGGCTTCATGCTCTTTGGGGGATTGCATGCTCAGGCTCTGCGGGCTGCATGGCAACAACTCCATGCCTGCCTCCGTGCAGTTCCACAAACGGGCCTCTTGAGGGCGCCGAGTGCCCAGGGTCTGTTGTCTAGCTCCAAGTCTTACCTCCTTCTCCTCTACTTCACGCCCCTGCTCCTGCTATCCGCCTTTAGCCACCAAGAGGCTAGATTTCTGATTCCCCTCCTAGTCCCTCTAGTCCTCCTGTGCAGTCCACAAACCCAACTTATACCCTGGAAGGGTACCCTGGTCCTCTTCAATGTCCTGGGCGCTCTCATCTTTGGGTGCCTGCATCAGGGAGGTCTGGTACCTGGCCTGAAGTACCTGGAGCAGGTGGTCCATGCACCTGCCCTCTCAGGCACCACCACCCACTACACACTTCTCTTCACACACACTTACATGCCTCCCCAGCACCTCCTACACCTCTCAGGCCTGGGATCACCTGTGGAGGTGGTAGACATGGGCGGGGCTGAGGACTGGGTCCTGTGTCAAGCCCTGAGCAACTTTAGTAAACAACCCCCCTGCCAACTGGCTGGTGGGCCGTGGCCCTGCCGACTCTTTGTGGTAACTCCTGGGACCAACAGGCATGCTCTGGAGAAGTGCCATTTTCCCCTCAAGAATGAGACTCTCCTGTTTCCCCACTTGACCCTGGAGGACCCTCCGGCCCTGTCCTCCCTGCTCAGTGGGGCTTGGAAGGCACATCTTAGCCTTCACATCATAGAACTGGAGAAGCCTGTTATGACAACGCAGCCCAAGATTCAGCCCTAGAAGTCACTCCACGTTCTACCCAGCAGCTTAGCTGGGACACTGAAATAGGGTCCCCGCTGCTGTCTCTTCTGGACACAGCCAAAGGTTGTTTTAGGCAAGCCCACATTCCTTTCCCTTAGACACCAAAGATCTGACCAGTCATGGTTTCAACGCCAAGGTTCCCAAAGTAATCTAGCATAACCACTGGCACCTGTCTGTTTCTATGCCGTTATTTCCAATCACTGTAATGTTTAAAATATATAGTAGCACCTGGTTATGAAAGACAATCAACTGTGGATGACATTCCTGAGTGGCCTCCTGCAAGCCTCCCACAATGCCTGACTTCTTGCTTTCATGACGATCATTTGACTTCTAATCTGGCTTTCTAGATAACAGCGTGAAGTAGACAGCAGGTGGCTCACATCCAGCTTTAGCCAGTCTTCAACTCACAAACTGTGATTGTAAGAAAGCATCTTCCACTCAGCCAGCCTACCACCCAATCTTACAACAGATCAGAGGGTCCAAAGATTAGTGTCATTGCTGAGGCCCACAGCATGTATCTCCTAGTTTGATAAACATGTCTCTTTAACTAAGAAGCAGTAGTTGTGTATTTCACGACACTATGGTGCCCGTGGACTTAGTGTTTGGCTATTACCAAAACAAGCCATTCCAGAAAACGCCTCCCTATCCCCTTCTACTCGTCTTGAGGAATTCTCAATGGTGGTGGAATTCTCCAGCCATTCTCTCCAAGACTGAGGAATAGCTCAGTGGCAGACTGTCTGTTCAGCATGCTTAAGGCTGTAGGCATGATCCCTAGAACCAAGAAAAAAATAGTCATTCTCCCAGAGCAAGAAACCTTCTCAGCACTGCTGGAAAGGCCTCGTAGCCTGCCCCAGTGGGAACTGAGAACAGACTGCCCAGAATCTGGAACCCAGTGTAAAACCTTTCCAATAGCTTCAAGCCTTCTAGATGCTAAGATTAACTGAGTGGCCTAAATACAAAGGTCCAGAAATTGGGCTAAGAATCTCAAAATGGCAAGGCAGGATACATGCATGGATCACAGTTCAGTTAGCTGATCATAATGAGTACCCCAAACCGACCCTCAAAATGAGGAAGAAGAAAAGAAACACCATGTGCTATGGGATCAGCGGCCTTAATGCTTTGGTGGGAGAAAAGACAGTTCCTGGGCAGGATAAAAAGCTGCAAAGTTAATCCCAGCACTTGGGAGGCAGAGGCAGGCGGATTTCTGAGTTCGAGAGTTAGAGGCTAGCCTGGTCTACAGAGTGAGTTCCAGGACAGCCAGGACTACACACAGAAACTCTGTCTCGAAAAACCAAAAAAAAAAAAAAAAAAAAAAAAAAAAAAAAGCTGCAAAGTGTAGGGAGTGGTCAACAACACAGTCCCTGGGCTCACCACACTCTGCAAGGCTTTGGGTTACTTGGAAAGTGGCCTCCATTTCTTCACGGAATGGAATTTTAAGTCACAACCCAGGCAGATCTCGAAAGCAAATATCAACACAGACGCTTAACGTGTTAACTATTATTAACAGGATCCTACAGTCCCCGGCATTCCACCTTGTCTGAGAAATACCACATTCAGACTTATTAACCAGCTTACACATTTAATGAAAGATTTTGAAAGCCTCGGGGTTGTCATTTCATTTACAAGCTTCCCTAGTATTCTCCTGCACCAGTGCAGACGCAGCAGCATTTATTCCGCTTCAGTCCCGCTTGCAGAAGGCAGGCTTGCTTTCTGGTTGTCCATGGCTCTCAGTAGTACTACGTTATGGTCTAGACTCTTTATCACTGGTGGACTTCGAGGTCTTTACGTCTGCAGGACTACCGGGCACATGTCCATTTGACCTGAGGCATCTGTATATCCGAGTTAGGATTCGAAGCAGCGTGGCCTCCTGGAGATGACTCGTGACTGCTGAGGTCGGTGTAGATCACTGAAGGGAGGGTTCGTGACCTCGGCCCGTGAGAGCCCAGCCCATGCTTACGCGTTGGGGCCCGGACCCTTCTGTTGCCCTGGACGGTCCCGGACGCTGCGGCGGAGTTCTTCGGTGAAAGTGTCCTTGAACCTCGCGGCGCGGCGACGTAGGGAACCCGGGGGCTTATCCGCGAGGGCGCGCAGACGGCGGGCTGCATCGTGGCCGCGCAGTTGCAGCTGTAACAGCGCGAAGGCTGTGAGTTGCGCTGCCCGCCGGATGGGCCGCGACTCGGACAGCCGCTCCACTAACTGCGGGTTGTGCAGCAGGGCCGCCAGCAGCCGCCGGAAAACCATCGTTCTCCGAGCGGCCCGGAACCCGAGGCACAGTGTATTCGCCTTCCGGCCGGCCAAGTTTAACGACGGACTAGCCGGCGCTGCATGATGACGACACACCCGTACCAGGTTCTGTAGCAGGCCGCCCACATTTCCGTTTCCGCCGCCGCCGCCGCCTGGTTCTCCCGGTCGTGGCCGCGTCGTGTTTCGCGTTTCTGCATCATGTCGGGTGGCTTACTGAAGGCGCTGCGCAGCGACTCCTACGTGGAACTCAGCGAGTACCGGGACCAGCACTTCCGGGTGAGGCGGGCTGAGCCACGAGAGTGGCAGCTCTTGGGCTCGAATGCTGAGAAACGGTTTACACTTGTCTTACTATGTCTTCCATCCTGATTTGCTGGAGCCCAAAATGCGTATGGCCCTGCGGTGTTTGGATATTACTGAAGCCACTTTATCTCCCAGGGAATCTGAGACTTACTTTCACAGTTTCTTGCTGCCGCTGCGAGTACCAACACCCAGAGAGGTGTGGCGGCGGCCCGTTTGATGGGCTTGTCTTGCTTGGGAAAGGGAATGTAATGAGGAGGTATCCCTATGGCAGCTGACCGGACACTAGAGCGGGTTTGGGATTTATAGTCAGCCAAACACCGCCCTTTGGTACTTCGGTCCTTTCTTCTGTAAGATAGTCTTACAAAAAGTTGGCAGTAAGTGGGAGACTTAGAATTGAGGCCCTGTTTGTGGCTGTCTGACGGGCATCGGGGCAGGCCACACGAGTCGCATTAAGGTTGTCTGGATGGCAAAATCCAGTACAGCCAGTGGCTGAAGAGAAGCCCTGTCACGAAAAACAACAACAACAACAAAAAGAAATTCAGTCAGCCTAATTTTAAAATGTTTGCTGTGTGTCTGGTATGAGTTTCACATCTATCACTTTTTACTGTTCTCATTACTTTGAACAGTTCCACATCAGTAACTAACCAGTTTGAATTTAAAGCACACTGCAAGATTAAAACCAGGGTAGGAGTCATTCATTTGTTGTCCAAAGCCTGTAACTCTCTTCAGACAGTAATAGTTTCTGTCATGTGCATTTTCCAGTGTATTCTAAATGCAATGTGTCAGTGCTGTGTTAAGTGTGAAATTAAGTTATGGTGAAGTTATAGACTCTGTATTTTACTTGTATATGAGGAAAAAGCAGAAAAGAGCGGCAGTACAAAGTGCATCCGATAGTCACATGTGGTGCTGGACATTTGTAGTCCTAGCAGAAAGATCACAAGTTTGAGATCAGCCTGCATAGGAAAAAGCAAATGTTTCCTCTAAAGTTCTAAAACCTTGTTTGTTTTTTTTTAACTCAGTATCTATTGGTCTATAGATTTTACCTGTTCATTCCTGTGGCAGTCTTAAAATGTACAGTGAGAATAAGACCAGAGTTTTATTTTATTTTGGTTGTTGTTGTTGGAGAACGGTCTTAATATGTTGCCTTAGCTGCCCTGTAACTCAGCATGTAAACCAGGCTGGCTTTCACGTCCACCTGCTTCTGCCTCCCAAGTATTGGGATTAAAGGAGTGCACCACCATGCTTAACCCAAGATTGAGTTTGAATTCTGGCTGAAGCTATTGTATAGTGTTCCACCCTAGGTGACTCAACTGGTTTTCCTCATGTGTAAAATGAGAATGATACATCAGGACCTACCTCATATAGTTCTTAGAGTGAAATAAAACTCTCACACCTGCAGTCCTTTGAGCTTCCCCAGGGGGTGGATGAAGTTACTATTTTCTTGTGTATAGCTGTATGTTCTTGGGTTTTAAAACTGTAACTTGGAGGGCTGGAGAGCTGGCTCAGAGGTTGGTCAGCACAGGCTGTTCCTCTGTAGGACTTGGAATCAATTCCCAGCACCAGAATGATGGCTCACAACATCTGTAACTCCAATTTCAGGGGATCTGATGCCCTATTCTGGTTTCTGAAAGTGCTAGGCTTGCACGTAGTGCACAGATATGCAGGGTGCAGGCAAAACAAACGCCCATATACATAAAATAATAAGCTCAAACCAAAAAACTGTAACTTGGGAGATGGGTGTGATGCCTGTTACCACAGCATTTGGGGAGATGGTAGAAAGACTACCAGGAATTTGAAACCAGCTTGGACTGCGTGGTCCTGTCTCAAAAAACAAAACAGAACAGTTGGACTAAGTAGACGTAGTTCAATAGGTAGAATTCGTGCCTAGCATGTGTTAAGGAAGCCCTTGGGTGGATCTTGAGCTGTACATAAACCCAGAGTGGTGGCAAATGCCTGTAACCCCAATACTTGGAAGGTAGAGGTAGGAGGATCAGAAGTTTAATGTCATCCTTGGTCACACAGTAGGTTCATTGCAACCTAAGCTACATGAAACCGTGTCTCAAAAACAAGAGGACCCCTGTGCAGTTCCTAGTGCATCAGCTATCTCAAAGCCGGTTCAGGGACTCTAATGCCTCTGGCCACCAAGGGCTGACTACATTCAGGTGTGAACACCCCCCCCCCCCCACACACACACACAGAGAAATTAACTAACTTTAAAACTACAGAGCTGGAAAGATGGCTCAGTGGTTAAGGACACATACTACTCTTGACAGGACCCAAGTTTGGTTCCCAGTGTCCACACCTCTGGCTTAGAACTGCTTCTAACTCCAGCTCCAGGGAGACAACCCCCTGTTGTCATCTCTGAAGGCACCTGGATTCACATGCACATACCCACACGCAAACATAAGGACATATGCACTTAATCTGACCCTTCATACTCTTTGTTTCTTGCTTCTTTCACTTTGCATTCCATCTTGGAATGGCTCAGAGGTTAAGAGCACTTGCTGCTCTTGCAGAGGACCATTATTTGGTTCCCAGTTCCCACCTGGTGGCTCACAACCATCTATAACTCCCGTTCCAACTCCCTCTTACATGTACATACATATAGGCAAAACACACATTAAATAAGTTCTTAAAAGAGAACTCTAGTTCCAAAGTAGCCTGGGAGAAGTTTCTAGACCTGGAAGACTGAGACTCCAACTGGGACAAGCTGTGGTGAAATATGCCAGGCTCTTAAGTTTCTCTTTGGTGTTTCCATGTCTTTTTAATCTACTAAATGCACTCAGATAAAGCCTGCTGTCCTGAGTGTGTGCTGCTGAGTATTCAGAGGTGATCCGTGTCAGAATCAGCATTGCTTAAGGAGTGCTAAATGAAAACTGGGAGACTGAGTGAATGCCTGAACATGAGTCCTCTCAGCTACTCTCTAGGCTAGATTCCATTAGCTGGTTAATGTCTGTGCCCTCACACTAGGGTAAAAGTGTATCATCAGTTGGCAGGTCTGTTTAATCACATCTGTACATCTGTGTCCTTTTCAGTGGAAATACTAAAAGCTATCACCCTTTTTTTTTTTTGTTTTTTCGAGACAGGGTTTCTCTGTGTAGCCCTGGCTGTCCTGGAACTCATTCTGTAGACCAGGCTGGCCTCGAACTCAGAAATCCGCCTGCCTCTGCCTCCCAAGTGCTGGAATTAAAGGCGTGCGCCACCACCCCCCGGCTCCACCACCCTTTTTTTTGTAAAGACATCTAAGATACCATGCTAACTGAGTGTGGTGGTTCATTTGTGTAATTACAGCATCAGGAGGCTGAAGATTGTCAGGTGTGTTGGTTGAAGCCCACTTAAACTCTCATCTCCAGCTCACTGGCTTCATCCTGTCTTTTTTTTTTTTTTTTTTTTTTTTTTTTTTGGTTTTTCGAGACAGGGTTCCTCTGTATAGCCCGGGCTGTCCTGGAACTCACTCTGTAGACCAGGCTGGCCTCGAACTCAGAAATCCGCCTGCCTCTGCCTCCCGAGTGCTGGGATTAAAGGCGTGCGCCACCACCGCCCGGCCTTCATCCTGTCTTTTTAAAGAAAGTAACTTTCTGGACTTGGTGGTGCACACCTCTGATCCCATCACTCAGAACCCTCGAGGCAGGTGAGACTATGAGTTCTAGACTAGCCAAAGCTACACAGTCCTCTTAGTAATCACTAACCCCTCTCTTACACGGAACAAAAACATAAGCATGTAAATCACCTAGCAGTCCATGCTACGAATAGGTTGTAGGGGAGTATTACAAGGGTTACTTTGTGTTTGTTATACAGGGTAAGGGGCCTTTCTGATATGTTCCGTCAAAGGTGTAGAATTTCAACTTGGGCCATTAGAGAAGGGTCCAAGGCTCGGGGCGTGGACTGTGCAAGAAAAGGGTATGCCACTCCCGTATAGGAGGTATGGGAGGAGTTACATGCTTTGCCTTTCAATTAAAAGCAGTCTGAACCTTACGTAATTATAATTAGAATGAGAATACTTCCAGGCTGGTAGAATTCTTACCTAATAGTCACATCCTGATTCAATCTCCAACACCACCCAAAATAAAAAAAAAAAAATCCACACTTTAAAAAATAGGTATTTTATGCATATGAACATTTGCTTGCATGTATGGTTTTATACCATGTACATACCTGGTGACCAACCACAGAAGCAAGAAGAGGGCATTGAATCCCCTAGGACTGGAGTTATTGACAGTTAAAAGCTGCCAGGTGGGCACTGGAAATTGAACCAGTGTCCTCTGGAATAGTTGGCTTCTTAGCCTATGAGTCATCTCTCCATTCACCCCCGAAAAACAACTTCCGAGGCACAGAAGAATATGTCAGGAATCAGTATGATGAGTCTTTAATTTCTAAATCAGAATCATTATCTTAATTAGACTTTAAGCAGGGCTGTACATTGTTGGTTTTCAGATTTGTTCATTGCTCATGTAATGCTTGTAGAGGGCACAGGAAACTTCAGAAATAGTTCTTTTAACCTCTCTGAGGATTTACTCATGCTTCTGCTCTGCACTGTGTACTCCAGGCTAGGCTGGCGCTCAGCCTTCCAGGAGATTCTCCCATCTCTCCATCCTACCTCCTGTAGGAGTGCTGGGATTCCAGGTGTATACCATCAAACCCAGCTTCTTTTGGATTCCAGGGATCAAACTCGAGTTGACAGGCTTGCACAGCTAGTGCCTTTAGTGGCTAAGAATCCTATATCTCCAGCCCTAAGCAAATCTCTTCTTTTAGGCTGCAGTGTTTAACTTTGTCTCTATTTGAATTTCTAGGGTGACAATGAAGAACAAGAAAAGTTACTGAAGAAAAGCTGTACATTGTATGTTGGAAATCTTTCCTTTTACACAACTGAAGAACAGATTTATGAACTCTTCAGCAAAAGTGGTGATATAAAGAAGATCATCATGGGTCTGGATAAAATGAAGAAAACAGCATGTGGGTTCTGTTTTGTGGAGTATCCTTCTTGGGTATCTAATCTAATGTAGCTGTTGAGCCAGGACACAGTTCAAGGGCCGAGGGCCTGCCTTTTTGTTTTGAGACAGGGTCTCGCTGCATGGCCCTGGCTAGCCTGAACTCTAGCCGTCCATCTACCTGTTCCTGCCTCCGGTGTTAGGACTGAAGGTGTAAAGTCTGTGCCACTGCACCCCCACTTTTTTGTTAAGGTATTAACTTGTTACAATCTCTGTAGCTTTCTCTTATTCCTTCCTATGAGCCCTGTGCACATACCTTTAGTCCCTTTAATCCTAGCACTCAAGGCGCAGGCAGGTCTCTGGGTTTGAGCTCAGTCTGATCTACATAGTAATTTCCAGGACAGCCAGAGCTACACAGTGAGACTACTACCTGGGTAAGTAGGAAGTGCAGGCAGCAGCTTCTAAGACTAAGAACTAACGAGACACCTGTCTGCCCTGGACAGTTCCCATTATTCTCTAAAACATTGGAGCATCATCTTTAGCCTTCTGGTCCAGAATATCTGATAGGCCTTATATTAATTGGGAATTATGAAGGAGAGACTCTGACTGGGGAAAAAAATAATAATAATAAAAAAAGGTGGACTCTCCTGTTGCTCAGACTAGGTCTAAACTCGGACTCAGTCTCTAGCAGCAGACCCATGCCATCACAATGGTGTCTGGAGTCAAAAATGCTTCTTCATTTCTCCCCTAGACATAAAGGATCAACCAGATTTCCAAAGTTTTGAATCCTAGGAGCAGTAGCATAAAAGAGTTTGCAGAGGACACGGAGAGAACAATAAAAAGACCCATAAGAACCAGAGTGTTTCCATTTGCCTTGCAAGTCACAGACCAACGTTCATGATAAGTGCACAAGAATAAGTCTCCTAGTGCTCAGTGATTTTGCTTTGTTAAGCATGCGTACGGTAGAAAGTCCTCGAGTGCCTGCTGCTTACTAGGCACTGTCTGTGTTGGATACTGTGCTACGGTAATTTCACCAAATGTTTCCTTGTCTAAAGACAAAGAAGAATCTAGACCAGCAAGTTCAGCTTCTAATTATAATTGCTTAAATCAGTAATTAAGATTTAGTTTTATTTATATATGTATAACCATGTCTCTGTTTATGTATGTATATGGGTAAGGTTTTCCTTTTTTTGTGTGGTGGTGGTGGTTCTTAAATTTTTTATTATGTTTTTATGTGGATGTTTTACTTGTGTGTCTATCTGTGCACCTTGTACAAACCACTGTGGACTACCACATAGGCTCTGGAAATGGAGCCCAGGTCCTCTGAAAAGCAGGTGCTCTTAACCATTGAGCCATCTCTCCAGCCCCTTTTGGGTTTGCTGTTGTTTTGTTTTGAAACAAAATACAGAATCTTGGTATGTAGTCCAGACTGGCCTCAAACACACAGCAATTCTCCTGCTTCAGCCTCCTGAGTGCTAGGATTATAACATGAACCACTATGTTCAACATATGTTCTTGCATAAGAAGTTTGTGGTCTAATATTATACTGACCATATTTTCTATTTGCAAATCAAAACATGGGCCAAATAATTATTAGCAGATATATCTAGGGAATCATGACTGACTCAGGCCTGGACAAATGTTATCTACTGTCCTTAACTGCCCATAAGTATTGTTGGACCAACTTTGAACTGGCTTCTACAAAATGAATTTCTATGTAAATAATCTGGTTAGGTTAGCTTTCTACTTTTATTTATTTTTAATCATGCATTGTGTAGGTGTGTTGCTTCCTGTCTCCAAAATGTTTGAAGAAATGTTAGAGTTCCTTAATACTTACACTCTAAGATACTATTCAAGAGCAGATGCAGAGAACGCAATGCGATACATAAACGGAACTCGTCTGGATGACCGGATCATACGGACAGATTGGGATGCAGGCTTTAAAGAGGGCAGGCAGTATGGACGTGGACGGTCTGGGGGTCAGGTATGTTACATGGGCACCTGAGCTGAATCTCTGCCTGGGATTCCAGTTACAATACAGGTTTTTCATCAGTTTGTGGTTATTCTTTTGTAAGGAGCTTGAATTTGTTAGTTTTGACAGGGTTTGGGGTGGGAGACTTCCTGAGACAAGATCTTGTCGTGTAACCAAACTGGCATCAAACTTGAGATCAGATCCTCTTGCCTCTGCCTCCTAAATATTGAAATTACAAATGGATGCACACCAGGCCAGTGATAGGAAATCTGAGAGTTGGAAATAATCTGCACATTTCTTTAAGTAGTTGTTATAAACTCATGCTAGGGGGCCTTCTCCCAGCAACAATGTCTAGAACAAAAGCAACATGCACACAAATGAGTTTTACTCTAATGCTTATGCCCTGTGGTTTGTGGACAGCTGAAACAGTCTAGCTATGCCTGGCGTTTCTGCAGAGGCAGATCTGTTGCATCAACATCCCACAGTGCTGTGTTTTGTTTTGTTTTCAATTAAGGTTCGGGATGAGTATCGGGACGACTACGATGCTGGAAGAGGTGGCTATGGAAAACTGGCACAAAAACAGTGAGTGGGGCGTGCCCCAAGTACACAGCTCACAGTACATCAACACAGTTGATGATGCTGGAGGACGTTACCCAAGGTCTCATTGTACTGGAAGCCACTTCTGGTTTTCCTCTGAAATATTAAAAGACAGAATCCAGAGAATGCCTTTAAGTCTAGTCTTATTAGGATGATTTTCTGTTATTAGGTAAAAAAATTATATACCTGGGCAACAGACACAATCTGTGCTGATTAAACTGTCAGCTGGATACCACACTTTTAGGGAGACTGGTCAAAATGTCAGAATTGACTTTACAAGTAGGTTGGTAATCTTCATGGGGGACTGAGATGATTTTCTACATCTTAAGTTTTCATGTTAATCACTGAGGTTTTGCTACAGTCTATATACCTTTGCTCTAAATTAGGAACAGGTGTTTGTCAACTGGATTTGCTTTTTATGTTTCAGTATAGTTGGCACAAAAGTCAGCCTTAATAGGGCCTGAGGATGCCACCTGCTTCTGTGCTTTATGCGTCAGGATACTATCAGGACTTTATCAGTGTTCACTAAACACATTTCTCAAAAGATGCAAATGTTTCACTGAAAGTTTAAAACAAAACGAAAACAAGGACTCTGTTATACAGAGAGCCTCCAGTATCCTAAGTAGGGAGGACACCATCAGTAGGGGATGGAATGAAAACTCAACCACTGCCTTGATATGGAAGCTGAGGTTGGAACCATTAAATTATTTCTTCCCATTTCAAAAGGACCTTAGAATAGAGTGAGCTTTAGAAAAGGGCTTCACCCAGGCCTGTAATCCCTGTTACTTGGGAGGCTGAAACAAGAGGATCAAAAGTTCAGTGCCAGCCTGGGGATCTTGTGAATTTGCCTCAAAATAGAAACATAAAGGGGCTAGGGAAGGTAAGGGTCACAGCCGTTGAGAACTTCCTCATTATGTGAATGCTCCTGGCTTTAATCCTTGGGATTAAACAATAAGAGTCTGAAAATTGGGAGAGTATTTAACAACAGAAAGCCTCCTCTAGGAATGTCTGTTATAAGTGATACAAATATTTTCGTCTTTTTTCCCTGAACTTGTTTACTGAGGTCCATGTATTAATAGTAAGCTAGAGGTCCGTCTCTACCGGAGTCTAGAGATCTTTTTTTTTTTTTTTTCATTTTCTTTGTATTATATGTAACTTTTTTGATACAAGAGAAGGAAATCCTCATGTTACTTTGTTACTAAAGCGTCTTCTAATTCTCACCAGTTTTCCCTGGTTGGGGCAGAGCATCTTTGATGCTGTATTAAGTGTGGTTCTCTTGAAGCTGTAACAACTATAATGCTTAGGAAGCCCACGTGCAAGCACCCAGTGAGGAGACACTTAAGTTTTAAAATAAAGCCTTTTATACTGTACTTCAACTGTTTATCATACATTCTTTTGTAGTAAAATATAAGTCAGTGGGAATTTTGTCTTCTGTAACAAGTTTAAATAAAGTTAGACCAACTAGTATCTGTGTATATTTCCTCACCTATAAAGTGGGACATGTTCTGGTGCCTTTGGGAAAACAAGACACAGTAAGCATCCAGTGAATGAGTAGGGCAAAAAGAGGTCAGTCTTCTGAAGACAGGCTGTAGATGACAGGAGGGAAAATGAATCAAGAGGGTGTTTTCTTGGGCTTGAGGATGCTAAACAGTCTTTTTTGATTATACCCCTCTTTCCTATGTCAGAGAGTCTGATCTATATCTCACTTTAATCAAAAGAGTGAGATCTCAGAGATAATATGTCAAGTTGGGTGTGATGACACGAGTTGGTAATCCCAACACTTGGGAAGCCAGGAGAAAAGATGGTAGGTTGCCAAGATTACACAGCCAGCAAGAACCTATCTCAAAAGGTACAACCCATCTCTATTCCAAAGAACAACAACAGTAAAAACTACAAAGAAAAAAGAGCCAACAGAGACATGTAGGCTAAAATGTGTGAATGCAGAGTAAGAAGAGCCATCCTGGCATCTCTAAAATTACTAGCCTCCTATACTGTAAGCTAAAGTATAAATTCTGAGACTTGGTTTAGAGCGCTGCCAACCAATATTGTGGCCAGACACCACAAATGGTTACTTAAAAATAATAAAGTTGGGATTAGAGCAATGGTGTAGTGGTCCTTGCTATCTCCCAGAGGACCTGGGTTTACTTCCCAGCACTCATGTGGTAGCTCACAATTCTGTAACTCTAGTTCTCTAGGATCCAGTGTCTTATGAGTACTGCATGCACCATGGTACACATACATGCAGAACACTCATAAGTAAACAGCTGACATTGGTAGTGCACACTTTACTCCCACTGGGGATCAACTGGAGGCAGAAGCAGAAGGTTCTAGAGAACAAGTTCCATGACGGCCAGAATGACACAAAGAAACCTTGTCTTAAAAAGACAAAACAAATAAATGAATGATTAAAGGTGTGCTTTACCACACATGGCAACAAAAAGAAAACTGAAGCCTGAGTTTGTAGTCGCACCAGGCACATTTCTATACTCAGTAGCTGCACGTGGCAAGTGGCTGTGATAGCGGAGAAAGTAGAGCAGGCCCAAGAAGGGAGCTCCTGCTACAGCACAGCTCTGGGTAGAGCTAGGGAGGGCTTACAGTGGTCACTGGTCTTCAGTAAGCCTTGTCACCACTGGATGACGCTAGGAAATACACTATCCACCACATAATTCATGTTATTCAACACAACAGAACACATGTTTATAAAGGCATTTAGTTTATTTTTCAAAAAAATATTTTGCTAGAAGGGTTGAGTACTGACTAATTTTACATGATCATAATCTTTTAATAAAACTTTCTGACCAACAGGTATCATTCAAGTGAACAACTTGTCTAGGTCTGCTTTTGTGACTCCCAAATACAATAGCATTTCTTAGATGCTATTCCCCAGATCTTAGATATCTACCAGCCAGGAGGCAGAGCCTACCACATAGCAAAACTATGTACTTTATAATTGTTGATTAACTTGGTCTCTTAACATAAAGAAGCACAGCAGATAAATCAGTGTATTTAACTCACTGTCTCTGACCCACTTAGACTCCCAATGGCTCCTAAGGCAGGGAAGAAGCAGTGAGCCCCAACTGCAGAGGAAAGGGACAAGTCACATCAGATGAGTACTGGCTGTGTCCCTAGTTAGCTCTGTTACTGTTGTATTCCAACCATAAACTCATGATGACCATGTTATTCATATTCAATAGTAAACAGAGAATACAGTGCAAAGCCAAAAATGTGCTGTGAAGTTATTGGCAGCAACTTTTCTCTTCCTTGAGAGGCCAACTGAAAGTTAAGTCTCCATGATTCCTAAGAAAACTAAAAGATGAATTAAGTCTATATTGATTGCTAGAGGTTTAACAAAAGGAAATATTACTGGAAAGACGCAACTACAGCCAGTTTTCCCATGAGGACTGGGCAGCTTGCTGAAGGCTCATCATACATATATGAATAGCTCTTAAGTTTGTGCAAGGCTTACATTCATCCCCAGTGACATAAAGTCTGCCAGTACTTGATGGATATCAAAATTCAGTGCCAAGCCAGTGACAGTAAAGCATTACTGCAAACATCAAGACAAAAGATTCTGCAATCTAGGATTTGAAAGCTAAACAGAGGTTTACATGTAATTACAAGAAAGAACAATTGTGTGCTGAAACCAAGTCTCACTAATAACAGAAACAGGTGTACAACATACTGAAAAGACCCAGCATGGAGGCTAAAGCAAGCTGAATAGCACACGTGAAGGTGTCCTATCATGCTAGAAAGGAAAGAGTAACTGGACTCGGATGGCTTGAGTCTCTGTTCAGTCCTGCATACCTCACAGCCGATATGACGGTTTCTCAGACTGGAGAAGTGGCAACTCAGGCTCGGGGCATGATGACTGTCCCAGCCATTGGTCATACTGATGCACCCAAGTAATCTAAACATCAGGGAGGCTGAGGCAGAAGGACTGCAAGTTTGAGGCCAGCCTTGGCTAAATTAAACAAAGACCCTGTTTCAACAAGAATCTCAAAGGAACACAACTGTAACTTGTGCATGAAGTGTCTCATTGGGGAAGTGAGCTACTTCCTTAAGACATATGAATCAGTCATCTTACTACTGGCTATTTCAGTATAGACACACCAACAAAATCCCACAGTAACGTCTTACATATCAATTTTGAAGAAGCTCATGCTGGTATAATTATGTCTGAAAGTCTTAAGACTACATCCTTAGGTGGGCATGGCAACAGACCTATAATCCTAGCACCTGGGAGAGGACTAGGAATTCAGCTACACGGTGAGGTTTTTTGAAGCTAGTCTGACATACAAGACCCTTCTCCCCAAACCCCTTCCCTAAAAGATCTTCAAGCAGCCTGGCCTGTAATCCTAGTTACTTGGGTGACAGGAATATAAACTGAAAATCAGGCTCAGCCACTGAGCAAATTTGAGACCAGCCTAGGCAATAAGACCATGTCTCAAAATACAAAAATGTATAAAGAAGGCTACAGTTGTAGGTCAGTGGTGGAGCACTTGCCTAATATACAAATAGGCCATGTCCATTCCCCAGTACTACAAAAACAATAAAGAGATCTTCCCCTATCTAAATTCTCATCTTCCCCAGTGGTGACACAACCTTAACCTGTAGCAACATAAAGTGCCTCTACCTCAGTCTTTATAATGACCTGAAGCACAAGAAATGTTGATCTGGTTTTATGCTAAGAACTCAGTCTGGCTAACTGAGGAGAGAAGACTGCTATGGCTGTTGCTGTGTCCGTACTGCTGCTGAGAATCCTGCATGTAAACCTAGGTGATTCAGCCCTAACTGAGGCAGTAAGCTCTACTCACCCATTTTGCCTTTTCTGTTTTACAAACATCTCATGCCTAACTAGGCAGTTACTCTGTCACGTACTTGGTAGTTTTCTACACAAGTTAATTATGCTTCCCTCCAATTCTGGGAGAAAGAAAAATGGTTTGGCTTAATATGCATCTTATATTCCTTTTAAACATGTCACAAAAGGCCAGATTAAAGATGCAAGCTCTACCATTTCGTCTTAATCCATAGGACAGAACTGCTGTACAGCCTGTTCAATAAACAGGACAGTTCTTGAGTACAGGATTCGGACTGTTCTTGTGGAAGCCAAAAGAGCCCCTTGGGATGCTGAACCACCAGAGAAGACTGGAGAGAACATCCCTCGCCACTGCTCTCCCTCCCCTCTTCTCCCACCATCTGCAGAAGACCACACGGCAGTCTTCTACTTTGAGTGTTTGTATTTTATATGCCTTGAAGTAGATTTGGGGTAAATCTTAAATGCCTTGGAGTACATGGGCAGCAACACAGAGGTGATAACTAGCAAATTACTTCCATGGAAAGCCAAATTCTCATTTATTTAACCATGAGTTTGATGGATGTTAAGTTTTTTTTTACAAGCCAAACCCAGAAAAAAAAAAATCCAAGAAAATTCAATGTCTCAGGAAAAGCCTTTATGAGATTTAATCTACATATTATAATTCATAAAACCAAAATGGGAATCTTGTGTGTTGGTATGTACCGATATTACCAGCACTGGGGAGACAGAGACAGGTTTAGCTGGAGTTTGTGGCCAGCCTAGCTACTGTGAGCTCCAGGACAGCTTGAGCTACATAGTGAGACTTTGTCTCAAAACAAAACAACCCTCCCCCTGATTTTTTACAAATAAGGTAACTGGCACCAAGGATGCTGCCTTTTTTCCCCTCATACCTTCACTCTTGTCAAATCAGCACTGTGCTTGCAAGCACCATATCCCTAAGCAGAATAGCCCCTCTCACCTTCAGAAGGAATATGTCTCATGCTGGAGACTCATCTGAGGACTATCAGCAAAACCTGCTGCTGGTGTAAGTGAAACGTGACTGGCTTTTCCACAGCACTCCTAGCTACCCTTTATGCCATAGGGAACATCTACTCTGAGCTATGCTGTATCAAAAACATCTTGCATTTTTAGATTCTGGGGTTAACTTTTAAACCTGTATTCAGTTCATATCTAACTATGTTTCAAAAGCTGCACCAAATCTACTAGGCTTTTTTTAATACTCTTTACTGCATGCTCTGTCTATATGCATGCGTTTGGATAATAAATATTAAATATGGGAGGGACGTATGGAATTCATAAAGTTAAAAATGAAACTAAATTGAACATTAAAAAAAAGTACATGATAGCAGGAGAAATGAAGGGCAAAACATAAATCTGAGGTAACAATAAGTGGCCCAATACCACCAATCTGAAATATCTGTAAAGATTCAGTAAGTGTCTGGAGATTCAAGTAACAAACCATCTGCTCCAACATGGCGCCTTCTGGAGTCCCTGCTGAGTGAGTCTCAGTCCAGGAGCCGACACTCACACAACTCCTTATAGATCCTCTTCCGCACGCGAGGCATGTCTTCTTGAGAAAACTGGAAAGGCTGCTCTAGGGCGAGGCACTTGCAGTACTGCAAAAAAGGGGGGGAAATGTCCCAGAGATACCTGAGAGGCATGCACAGCCCCACCCCTGCCCACGGCCTTTTAGACACACACACCTAACAGTCTAAAACTGCAGAATAACATTTATGGGTCTTGCAAAGTCATAGTGTTGTTTTTGAGACGGGGGTTTCTCTGTGTAACGGCCCTGACTGTACTGGAATTCACTTTGTAGACCAGACTGGCCTCGAATTCACAGACATCTACTGTCGATTAAAGGTGTGTACCACTGTTTTAGAGCACTGACTTCCAAATGAGAAGTAGCTTTCCAGCCAAGTGAATAGCTAGGTATCCTTTCATTCTCCCCAAGGGCACCTTGCTGAGCCTGCACTTAGAGATCTCACAGGGAGAGGAACATTCATGAGGCGTGAGGTATACAGTGGGGTGACCTTCCAAGATCTTTGTAAATCTCTTGAGTTCAAGTATAAAATCATTTCCCCATAAATACATGTGCTTCTCTAATGCACTTAGAATGACCTCCCGTAAGACATGGATTAGACTCCCTGTCCATTCTTGTCCTAGAAAGGCAGTTCTTCCTAATGATTACATCTCCAAATACAGAAACTAGAGTATCCCAGCAACAAAGGGAAAGTGCTGTCTTTCCTAATACTGTATACACACAGGACTATCATTTCTTCTCTTGAAATAAAACAACCAACTCACTGTAAAAAGTAGTATTTACCTGGAGCACAAAGACTCCACAGTCACTGTCATTTTTCTGTTGTGGAATACACTGAAGAGAAAAATAAGATGACCATTAAAATAGATCAAGTATCTCTCTTCACAGAAGAAAACTATTTCCATGAGTACGTGAGCAAGAGATGAGAAACTCCTCTGTCCCAGACAGCTTGTCTATACCTCCAGTATTTAAATACCTTACCAAGGGAAGCCTATGGCCAAATGAAAAGATCTTTCAAGTGGCAACCACAATATAAATGTGGGAAATGGGAAAACCAAATTATAAAACCTCTTACAACCTAATTAGTTGGGCCGACCATGGAAACAAGTGGCCCTGTGGATCAGAAAGCTATGCTTGGACACCATCACTCACTCCTTTGTGCTTCCTGGCTACACATCAGTATGAGCAGCAGCTTCGTGCCTTGGCTGCCATGTATCCCCACCATGATAGATGGCTCAGACGCTGAGCCACAGCAAGACTTTCCTCCCTTCAGTTGTTAAGTATTTTGTCGCAGCAATGAAAACATTACCTCATAAAGCTCTTTGAAGCCTTAACATTTCACCTCAGATTAAACAATTTTGTTTTATTCTTTGAAGTAACTCATAAAGACAAAGAAATGTTTCCCAAAGAACTGGTTACTGTATCTAGACAGAAATATGAAAGACCCTGGAGGGGTGCAGAATACCTAAATGCCCCAGAGAGTAAATCAGACAATTAAAAAAAAAATCAAGTTCCTTTCTGATGTGAACTAGTATGTGGGTGATTAGAAACATAAAACGATGGCTCAATTTTAAAGCATTAATATTCAGCTCAGTTCAAAGGTGAACTAATATTGATCTTTTGGCCTAGGCTTTAACATTTGTTTCAAGACTCTGCCGAGACCATTTGGTCAATAATCTAGCAGACTTGAGTTCAAGGACCAGCCTCTAACAACAGTTCCAACATTCAGTTTTGTTGTCTATAAAATAGAGATGCAGCTTGTCCCTGAGGAACTGCCTGACACACAAGCTGTGAGAGACGAGTGAGGTCACTACAAGGAAACAGGACAACTGGAGGGACTACGCATGACTGGGCCCTCTGCCAAACAACACAGTGGGTCTGACCTATGTTCTTGGAAAGTAGCCCCCATCTTGGTCCCTTTGTGGACCCAGATAGGCATTTAGCACATGTCTGAGTCTATATGGATCATATGGAAATTACAACTACAAGGTAAGGTGCCACCCTCCACCAAAACTCTGTTCTCCATAGAACACCAGTGATTACTAACTATACCAAGTTACATGATACTACCTGCTATCAGCAAGTACTAGGACGCTGAGCCTGGAGGTGATTAAGTACTAAACAGGTTTGTTCTGAGTTACCTAGAGCCCCCTGGAGGCTCTCCTCGTCCCGTCTTCAAACATCCCCAGCAGGAACCCACTCTTGAATCACTGCCTACCATGCCCATGCTGGAGCTTCATTTGGACCATTCTTACCTTTGTAACAGCAGTCTGCCAACCCTGAAGAAATTCAGGTCTATTTTTTTCTCTAGCTTCAGTCAGCAAATACTTTCTTATATTCTGGTTAAAAAGAAACCACAACACATATGTTGTTCTCTATTAGTTGGTGACAACATGGACCCTGCCCACCACCAATTAGAAGGTCTGTACAAGTGGGTGATATCTATACTTGAGTTTCCAGCTGGAACTTTTTCCCTCATGCCTGTCCAGTATCACTCAAGACTAAACACTGGATTAGAACGTCTTACCAGTCAACTTCCTACATTTGAAACCTTGTATTTAAAGACAGAAGGAGAGCATAGCAGAAATCATTAATAACAAGCGAAGAACATTCCAGCTCTCTATCCATTTCTCAGGTCCTTTCCCAGCCCTTACTTGTAGAGATTCAGTTAACTAATAGCACAAACATTTTTTCCAAGTCTATCACTTACCCGCTAACTTTACGACCTGTAGCTTTACTTGTTTAGTGGTGCTGAGGATGACCATGTATGTGGTAAACAGGGACTGTACCACTGAGCTACAACTCCAAATCTGACAATAACACAGATTTTGTGATACATTTAAATTTATCAAGCTGTTCCTTGGTATTTTTTTTATTCTTCTCTGTAAGAAGGCCTTCCCTACTCTGTGAATGAATAAAATGCCAAAATTTAACCAGGATTTCATGGTTTGTTTTTCTTTTGAGATAGGGTCTCACTATGTAGCCCTCACTGGGTGGAATTCATAGATCTACCTGTATCTGCCTCCTGAATGCTGGGATTAAAGGCATCTAGCACTGAGGCCAGCATGTTAATGTTTTCTATCTGTTCTTATAATTAGTATAATGCAAGCCTCTATAACTTTTAAATATAATTTTATATTTATATAAGTAACATTTTAAATGTAAACTTTTCATAACATGCCTTGACATCTAACAGATGAGTCTGCCTTCACTGTTCTAATTCAAGCTCATGCTCATGAGTTCTGCAGTGTGAATTCTAGGAGCTCACTGGGCCTTGCAAATTCCTGTTAGTGGGCTGGGGATGCAGCTCCGTGGGTAAAGTGCTTGCCTACATGCACAAAGCCCTAGATTCTACCCCAGCACCATGTAAAGCAGGTACAGTGGCACACACCTGACATCTCAGCACTTAGGTGGTAAGGGCAGGAAGACCACGAGTTCAAAGATATCCTTGGCTACATTCCAAGTTGACAGCCAGCCTGGGCTATATATTAGACTTGGTCTCAACACCAAGCATGGTATTGTAAACCATAATTCTAGGACTTAGGAGGCTATAGGCAGGATGATTATATGTTTGATGCCAGTATGGACTACATAGGAGACCTTTAATCAATAGAATAAAAAAAACATCTTGGCAAACTGATGGGATGAAAATTGCTATTTTTGTTTGGTGAGAATTGAACTCTTCTTAACATTGAGTCTGCTTGATTCTCCAAATAATTAAAAATAATAATTTAAAATCTTCACCCTAAAGGCTTTTTTGCACATTCCCTACTACAGTACACCCCGGGTGATGGGCTCTATTACTTTAGTAAATAAATTCTTCTTCCCTTTTTTTTTTTTTTGTTTGTTTTTTTTGTTTTGAGACAGGGTTTCTCTGTGTAGCTCTGACTGACCTGGAGCTCACTCTATAGACCAGGCTGGCCTCGAACTCAGGGATCTGCTTGCCTCTGCCTCCCAAGTGCTGGAACAAAAGGTGTGTGCCCCCACTGCTTGACATAAGGCATACTCTACCTTATGCAGAAAACCCAGGAAAGCTGAATGTGCCTCCCATCTTGTTACACTCTTGCTGATATCAGCTGAACTCTACAAGGTGTGAGGGTGTACAACTGTAATCCCAGCATTTGGGAAGCAGAGGCAAAACACCAACAAGTTCAAGGTTATCTGGCCAGTTTGAGAACAACCTGGGCTATGTAAGATCATGTCTTTACCTGAACTCTTTAATATTTTGTGTTGGCATATTATTTAGAAGATTTGAAGTAATATTAGCTCTAAAAGAAAGGAAGAAAAATAGTTTCTATGCATACTCAAGCATTTTTTAAGGAAAGGAAAATTTGTATTGTTCTGTATTTCCTTAAAAAACGCTGACCCCAAACAGGGCACATCTTTCCAAAGGGGGCCTCAGAACAGACAGCTCAGTCACCCTGCCCTGAACACTGTCCTGGAGTTATCCTCAAAGCAGCTGCTGACTTCTATTGCTATCTAGAGCTTTATCACTGTCAATCATAGGTAAGAAATAAAACCGGCAGAATATTAACTTACCTCTACACAAAATTTAAAATGAATGCCTTGGGAATCATAAAATGAAATAATCCGACTGGAGAGTGTCACAGTAATGAGAGACCAGTGGACCTCCAGGTGGATGGGAATCAACAGAAGACTCTTTTTAAACAAGTCCACCTGGTTAAGAGAAGGAAAAGAAATGGAGCTATCACTACAGAACCAACAACGGTGTTCATCTGTTGCCCTTTGTTTGACCTGCTAAAATCATAAAGTGGGAAAGTGGTGAAACAGAACTTGAACTCACCTTTTTTTTTGTTTGCTTGCTTTTGGTTTTTCAAGACAGGGTTTCTCTGTGTAGCCCTGGCTGTCCTGGAACTCACTCTGAAGACCAGGCTGGCCTCAGACTCACATAGCTCCCCCGCTTCTGCCTCCCAAGTGCTGGGATTAAAGGCGTGCACACCACCACCATCAAGCTTCCTATGTCTCAATCTAAAGCCCATGTTGTGATCACTAAGGTAAAATACTAAAAAGGGGGGGGGGGTGGAATAGAAAAGCATTACTTCTATTTTTAATTAACCTACAGAACTGAGGCTTGTCAGATGTTGGAAATGACTCAGTGTATTTATTATTCATGTGTGAATGTGCATGCATAATGTGTATGTGTTCAAAGGACAACTTTGTGAAGTTGGTTCTTTTCTTCCACCTTTATGTGGTTCTATTTGTTTTAATATAACATGCAATCTCATGTAAATCTGAAGTTCAAAGTTTGGTTCTTCTACTTCTGTTTTGTCAGTTTTGTTTCCCCTTTTGTGCCCTGTTTTCCTAGAGTGTACCATGTAGAAAACATGTTTCCTTATACAGTTCTAAATAGGAAGAAAACATGAAGCCGGGAGGTGATGGCGCCTACCTTTAATCCCAGCACTCAGCAGGCAGAGGCAGGTGGATCTCTGTTGAGTCTGAGTCCAGTTTTGTCTATAGAGTTAGATCCAGGACAACCAAGGCTATACAGAGAAACTGTCTCAAAGAGAGAGAGCAAGAGAGACAGAGAGATAAAGACAGAGACAGACAGACAGACAGACAAACAGGAAGGAAGGAAGGAAGGAAGGAAGGAAGGAAGGAAGGAAGGAAGGAAGGAAGGAAAACTCATACAAATGTGCTTCAGCATACTTTAGCCAGTCTTGGCTGTTATTTTCATTTCCATATGTCTCAGATGTTAAAATGGAGAGAATGTTCTTGTTAATAATATATACCCTTTAGCTCAAATATATCCTTAAAATCCTAGCATGCCCTTTTTATTATAAAACATGTCTTCTCAAATCTCAAAAGGTTCTCTGAACTCCACACCTGTATCATGGCATTTGGGTACCCACACACTGAAACACAATAAATAAATTGATATAATTAAAAATTCCAAAGGATAACAAACTTCAAAAACACTTGCAAAAAATGAGTTAGTTGGGCATCATAATGCTTCCATATGATCCCAGCATTTGGGAGGTGATAGCAAGAGTTGTGGTTCAAGGTCATCCTGTGATACAGGGAGAGGAGTCAAGGAAAGTGGACTGCAGGAGGCAGTGAAGGAAAAGCTTGGCATGGTAGCACATGTCTGTAGTGAAAGAACTATGCATTCAAGGGATGTCTGTTTAACTCCGTACGATCCTATCTCAAAGTAAAAGTTGCGGGGCCATCAAGATGCTCACTGTGCCTGATGACCAGTTCTGATTCCTGAGAACCCACCTAAAAGTAGAAGAGAACCTAGTCCACAAAGTTGTCCTAGGGCCTTGCTGTGTGTGCAGTAGCATGCAGCCATCTGCATACAGACCAACTAACACACTGGAACACATAAAGAAATACAATTTTAAAACTTAAAATGCTATCTTTCATATTTTGTTATTACTTTTACTGTGTCTTCTTTTCCCCTATTTACGTCTTCTGTTAACTTATTTGCTTTCTGGAATTGAATTTGGTGACTACTTAGTAATAACGGGATGTTAAGGCATTAGTTTTTTCTCTTCTGTATTTAGGAAGAACCTTGAACTCACTGTGTAAGTTCCTTGGATCGCCTGCGTCCAGCTCCTTAGAGTCAGGATGGTTAGGTGTGGTCCTACAAGGCTCCCTCAAAGCTTCAGTTGTCTTCCTGAAATTCATGTGATCTGAGTCTCAGCACATGTGTCTGTATACACACTGTACACAGAGCAGGGGCTCAACCATGAGCACAGCGGTCCAGCATCAGCTGTCTTTCCTCCATTGCTTCTGTCTGACTGTGTGAGTCTCTTCCTGAATCTGAAGCCGTGTCAAGCCCCCATGCCTGTATTGTAGGGAACTTATCCTCGGAGCCTCACTGGCTGCCACCCTTTATCTCCTGGCCCTTCATTTTCAATTGGATTCATAGTAAGAGAAGAATGTCTCCACAGCTTTCTAGTGGACAAGTATAAGATCAGTTCTTACAAGTGTCCCTTAGGTACAAAAGAGTAAATAGATACAGCTGGGCTGGATAACAAGTTCAAGACTATCTTGGGTACATACATACTGTGAATCTATATGAAAAATAAAGGGGAACCAAAGAGAAACACAGATTCTGTCTTTTAAAAAAACAAAAAACAAACAAAAAAAACCCAAAACAAAAACTTGTAAAAATTTTTCTCCATTTGTTTTGATTTTGGAACAAGGTCTCTCTCTATGTAGTCCTGACTATCTTGGAACTCAATACGTACTCCATCTGCCTCAGCCACCCCCGTGCTGGGATCAAATATGTGTTCTGCCACACCTGACATTTTTTGCACTTTAAAATTTGAATTTTTGTGTGCACTGACAGTGCATGTCACAGGACGTGGTCAGAGGATATCCTGTGAGTCAGCTCTTTGCTTCAACAACGTGGGGTCCAAGGACAGAACTCAGGTCCAGGTGTCAGAGTTGAGGATAAGCACGTTACCAGCTGAGCCATCTCACTTTTTAGGGTATAATGTTCTATGGTGTGGCAATGCAATCACATGGAATGCTAATGTGCTCTCTACTAGGTTATTCAATGGGCGATGTCATTGTATACATTTATGTTATTAGTGTGTGTCTGACAGTGCTGTGTATACACATGTCTGTGTATTGGCATGAGTGTAGCTGTCTGAGAGGGTCAGAAGAGGGCACTCTGTAGACCAGGCTATCAGAGATTCACACGCCTCGCAGGCTGGAGTGCTGGGATGAAGGCATGCGCCAGCACACCAGCTTCACTTTGGTTTGCTTTGCACAGAACTTCAGTCAAGTACCACTTTATTTTCAAGCATCCATTTTCATATTATTTTGTTAGTTTCTTAGCATTTAACACATGGCTGGAATTTTTTTTTTTAGTTATCCTAATTTGAGAATCCAGAGAATAGAATAATTTATTTTCATTTAACAAAGTAGTATGTATTTTTCAAATACTTCCCATGAACATATGCTTTTTCCACAAAGAAAACCATTCATTCTGTTTATAACATTTGCTCACCTCCGTCTTCCAGAGCTATGTAAAATTTCCAGCTGAAATACATCCACATATACGTGATATGCAATATATACATAAATACACATATGCTGTGTTGGGACAGAACCCAGAGCCCCCAACGTAGTAGCATATGCTTTACTACTGAGCTGTATCCCAGGCCCCGTGTCTGTACTTTTAGTTCTACCAAATCCTAAACAGTGAGCTGCCCACCACAGCTCCTCTAGTCAGAACTCATGTGTAGGACCATGAAAGGATATCTTGGTTCTTGACTGGGCATGGGCCTTGAACCCCGACCTCAATGGGGAAACGGCAAGTGTTCGGCCACGCCCCCAGAAAACCAGGCTCCTACACAAGGTCTAGACCTCCATTTAACCTGCGCCTTGCAGTCACGTTTGGCTATGCAGCCTCTCCCAAAGGGGTGCCACCTAACAATTCGAGAGGGCATGACTACAGGCTTCAGCCTAGAGAGATTTCAATATTCATGTGTTAAATGAAGGTGGGGGGGGGGGTATAGCTAAATTAAGTTATTCCTTTTCCCAGCCCCTCTTCCCCCTCCCCTATTTAAGGCCCGCCCTGGCCTAAAGCGGGTTGGGAGAGAGTGTACATGTAGACCATCTATCACACACCATCAACAATAAAGCTTTGGAAACCCACGGACTTCTCGGGTTATTGGAGCCTGCTGTCATGAAGCTTCCCCGTGTTTCCGTCGAGGGACCCGAACTCATGCACCTGAGGTCTTCCTTCACACTTGCCCTCCTTCAGCCACACAGAGGACACGGTAAAAGTGTGTGCATTTCACTCCCACGTCACATTTATTTGTCCACATCATACATCTGTCCTGCTATCATTCTAGGCCCAACAAGCATCACCATCCCCATGTTACCCACATCAAGTTTGGTATTCTTCAGGGTTCCTGGAGCAAACACGGCATGTCACCTAGAGCTCTTTAAAAGATTCCTGTTCCGGGGGCTGGAGAGATGGCTCAGTGGTTAAGGGCACTGACTGCTCTTCCAGAGGTCCTGAGTTCAAATCCCAGCAACCACATGGTGGCTCACAACCATCTGTAATGAGATTTGATGCCCTCTTCTGGTGTGTCTGAAGACAGCGACAGTGTACTCATAAATAAAATAAATAAATCTTTAAAAAAAAAAAAAAAAAAAAGATTCCTGTTCCATTTATAGGAAAGTAAAAAATGCAGCCAAGTATAATGTAGCACATCATAATCCAGACACTTGGAAAGCTGAGACAGAAAGATTGTTAGAGGCCAGCCTGGGCTATATAGTGAGAGAGAAAGTAAAGAATGGCAAGGGGGAAGAGAAGAAGAAAAGGAGAGAGCA